TTGATATTTAGTTTTTCTTTCCCTCAAAGTAAATGAAATTGCTTATCACTTATTTTCATATTTCTTTCTAATAGATGATGCACCACGCATTTCTTGTTAGAAACTTGTATGTAAACGCACGCGATTTGAGAAAATGCGTATAATTAATATGGCTTGCAAGAATGAATAATAAATTGTAGTACAAATTAAACTGCTCGGCTCAGTAATTTATATGTAATGACATGGCCTCATGCATGAACTCAGAACTCGGTTAAGAGCATTTAGCATGAGATGAGACAAATTATATACATAAGTATATATGATGTTCATCATGGTGCTCCTAGTCTATATTATTTCCGGTGGAGTTGCATGTTAGATCGTATCTCATCGACAAGATAAACTAAGAACTGAAAAAAGAAAGAGAGAGAAGGAAAAGAGTTCGTTGTTTCGCCCTTGACGAAAACGTGAAAACGAACTCGGCCGGCGACCAACGCTGCACCGTGACAACACCTTCCCATGTGGCCATTGGCCATGTTGATGTTTTTCTAACTTCAATGGTTGCCGCGTATCACCTAGTAGACCTCATACCCCCCACGTTCTTCAGGCACAGTACTACAAATGCCTCGGAATATGTTGCATTGTTTTTTTTGTTTTTTTTTTGCTAAACTATATCTTACATTTTGGTTATCTAATCGATTGGTTTTGAGTTTTCGTGAATACTTGAACGGCTGGGGATTCCGTAGTCTTTTCAACAGGTAAGTTTGCTATATATGAGAAGATACTGGTTGGTTGTGCAAGACTTTACCTCTACGGAGTAACTTTAAGATATATACCTAGGGCATGTTCACTTTGATGCCAAAAACAACCTTACTAAATTTTGGCAATGAAATAGTTGGCAACTTGTCAAAATTTTGGCAGGATTTCTTATATAGTTACCAAAATTTGGCAGTAAACTAAATGTAGCCATTTTTTTAACTTTACCAAAATTTGGTAAGGTTAAAAATGGCATCAAAGTGAACAGGCCACTAATTTTTTTAGTGTGAAATTTTGATACGTATGTACTTTCTCAATGACTATAAAATTTCTCCTTTTCAGAACCATAAAAACTCAACATGAAAAATGTTTTGAATGTAAAATTATACGAAAATACCCATCAATCTGGCATTATGTTACGACAATACTTTCAATAGGCAATAGCCAGCCCGAAGATCAGCAGTATGTGTGTACCTTAATCATCACAGGGATCAAACCTCTTGTAGCACTTTTTATGCAGGTCGACAGGTCGTACTACTGAAAATTTTTAGGTTTGGTTGCCACGACATCGGATATAAAGACAATATTTGAAGTATTAAACGTAGTCTAATAACAAAACAAATTACAGATTCCGCTACGAAAACTACGAGACGAATTTATTAAGCCTAATTAATCCGTCATTAGCAAATATTTGTAGCACCATATTTTTAAATCATACCGCAATTAGGCTTAAAAGATTCGTCTCGCAATTTACACGCAATATATGTAATTGGTTTTTTTTTCTACATTTAATACTCTATGCATGTGTCCAAATATTCGACGTGACATCGTGAAAATTTTTGTTTTGGAAACTAAACAAGGCCTCAGGCTGGCCCAACAGGATCCTTGGACACCAGTTAAAAAAAGTTTCACATGGCTCTTCGGCTGCCATTTTTTTTTTTAACTACTCGTACGAGACGGTGCGAAGTTCTATTGATAGAGCAAGAAAAAAATACAAGATTATAACCCTGGAGAGTCGTAAACAGGAAAAAGGGAAAAAATACCACCACCCACACACTGGCAGCACCAACACACGACCAGGAGAAGGTTAGCACCGGATCAGTCACCGTTAAACGTGACCGGCCACCGCTAGACCAACAAAGGAACACAGACGAGATCGCCCTACAGCAAGAGGTGCCAAAACGACGTCTTCAAGAAGAGAAGCTACGGAAAGCCGCTGTCGCCGTCCGTCAGTGCTCAAAGGAGCCAAGACTGGGCTTTCGCTCGGCAAACACCCTTGAGGGGTGAGACAGCATGACAACGCCCTCAGGAAGGGGGAATTAACCATCGTTGTCGGTACGGCCAAGGCCGAGCTGGGTTTTCACCCACCGCTCACCACCTACGAATCCACGGCTGACACACCGATGCTCCACCACCGCTCAAACTCTGCCGACCTGTGGGGCCCCTGCACCGACGCCCCCCGCCGACCAGCCTTCGTGCGCCGAAGACCGCGCCACACCCACCGGCAGCTCCACCACGCACCGAGGTCGCCTCTTCCACCATCGGCCGCGCCTCTCGCGCCAAGCCGGCCTCCATCTCCGCCGCCCGCGCCACTCGCTCCGAGCCGGCCTCCGCTGCCATCGGCTACGCCTCTCTGCACCAAGCCGGTCTCCGACCCCTCCTCCAAACGATGCTGCACCGGTCCGATGCAGCCGTCTGCCACGCCCTCAGCAAGCCGTCCGAGGCCACCATGCCTCCTCCCACCACCATCACGGTCACCACCACCTCACCGTCGCCGACACCTTTCCCGCCTCCAGTGTCGCATCCGCCGACATCGCCGCCGCCTCCTCGTAGCTTGAAGCCAGTTTGATTGATACAACAAGTACTATCCTCCACCCAAAGAAAAATACTCAACCTAAGATTGGATGTGATTCGTTGTTCTATTGAGTTTATTTTTTTGGGGATTGAGGGAGTAGGTAGCAGGCAGTTGTGTACCTGCGATGTAAATTGCAAGCGAACTGCCTCATAACCTATGTGTTAAACTGTTAATATCATGTAAGGCACTAAGCGAACTGCCTCGGTAATTTTTGTTCTGGTTCTCCACTAATTCTGTGGACGAAATGCTGGATCAGACCGCAAGAGCCGAGTTAGGCCCTGTTTGGGGGAGCTTCTCTCAGCTGCAGCTTTTCTCAAAAGCTGCTTCTGCTAGAAGCTGTCCCAAACAGTCTACAACTTCTGAGAATCTATAGTTACAGATTCTGAAAAATGAACTAAGAAGCCAAAAACTGAAGAAGCTGGGTTTCAGAGCTTTTCCAGATTCTCAAAAACTAGCTACCAAACAGCTGCTTCTTAGAATCTAAATCTTCCCGAACAGGCCCCTAGATAGCCTCAACTAACCGCAAAATCTTGTACCATGTGCAGTAAAATTTGCACCTTTGGCGTGTTAGTTGAGGCTCACTGGTCCAATCATTTGGCTGTCTTTTGTCCCTTCATCTTTGTAGAAGGCTATTAGCATGTGTACAAGACATTCTTGGTAGTTGGTACCTTCCATTTGCTGAGGATTTCCCTACACTGCAAATCATGATACTTCTTCATGTGGAATCAATCAGCTCATATTGGAGTACTGGAGTAGGCATGGCTTGGTGATCCCAGCATTTAATATTTGGAGTTTAGTTTGTTTAGACAGGGCAGCATCATCAAGCAGCAGTGTCTTGACTGAAATCTTCAAGCCCATCTGCCCTTCTCAGCTTCTCTGAATCACTTGGGATGATTTTCTTTTTGATGGTACAGTCACACCATGTTCCCACTTCCCAGTGAGATGATCTGCAACATGTGAAATCTCACAACACATAATTCACTGTAGAAACTAGCACATGTACAGAGAACTCAAAAGGGGAGAGAGAGAGAGACTTACGGTGTGTTCGGTGTTCATCACATGATGCCTAGTCCCACAAACAAAAGAAACCTGCACCAGCGAAAGCTTTAGCTCACACGAGAAAAGTGTGCGTTTTTTTTCTTCTCTCTCTCGTCTTGTGAGCTCTGCTTGGCTGCATGTTCAGAACAGGGAGCAACAAGTTGGCTCATGGGTGTTATACTCTAAAAACAGATGTGGCCGATGCTTGAAGTACACCTGCCTTCAGATCTACTACCATGTCCTGAGCCATGGAATCTTGAAGCCTGAAAATGGTTAAGCACAGGAATCTCAATTGGGTTCCAGCTACTGTACAAGGAGCATCTTCTGACAGGGAAGGCTTAAGTTTAGGACAAGCTTGTACCAACAGTCCAAGATCTGGCTGTCTTCTTGGATGGTCATACTGATACAGGTGGATAAATCAACCCAGTTGTGCTGGCTAAATAGTAGTAATTCCATAGATAAGCTATAGATAGCTCTAGGATAGGATGGGATGACCAGCTAGGCATGGCAAAAGGTATATTCAGTTGTAGCTTGGAAAACATGCTCCACCGTTCCAAAATACTCCTTCCGTTTTTTAATAGATGACGCCGTTGACTTTTTCTCACATCTTTTACCATTCGTCTTATTCAAAAATTTTATGCAAATGTATAAGATATAAATCACACTTAAAGTACTATGAGTGATAAAACGACTCATAACAAAATAAATTATAATTACGTAATTTTTTTTGAATAAGACGAATGGTGAAACATACGAGAAAAAGTCAACGGCGTCATCTATTAAAAAACGGAGGTAGTATAAGGATTTTTAGGATTCGAATTTTATAATACAATATAGTAAGGATTAATGCACTGATTCCAATCGCTTCAATGATTCCAAAGCCAATCACGTGCTAGCAAAGGGAATCTAAGCAATTCAAAATTTAATTTTTGATCTAACCTTGTATTTGCTAAACAACCAAGAAATCTCTGTATTTTAGAACAGATGGAGTAGTAGTACAATTATATCCAGCAGGTAGTAGCAGGCAGTTTTATCAAAATTTGGTTTCTCATCAGCTTCCCATTGAGCACCTGGAATGCAGTTATAGTATCATATTCATTTAATCGAATACTCTGAGACAACTGCTCTTTTGCAGCTCTGCTGCACCACCACTGAGAGTCTGAGACCAACACTGTCTTCGGGTCATCGAGCACCTTGCGCTGCAGATGACAAATGCACTTTGCTAGCCCAGTCACCTCAGGATCCAGGTCACACCAGTCATCACCTTATCGAGTGCAGATTCCACTGATGCAAGTTCAGGGCAGGCTGCAGCCTGCAGGTGCACTCGTGAGTTTTGAGTCTTCTTCTCAAAGTGCCCCCTCAAGTGTCGCAGGAACAAACAGGTTTACCACTAAGAGGAAAAATCTGCAGCTGAACTGCTTACTTAAACAGTTAAACTCAACATAATAAGGACGCCTTGATTAACGGATAATCAGCTAACATGAAGACTTTCTTACCCCACTTATAAACTGATCGAAAAAAAACTCAGGATTCAGGATCTTAATCTTGGTTTCAGCTAGAAAACAAATCAGCATTGGTAGTTCGACCCGTTCTTGTTCTTTTTGGAGGATGATACGGCCAGTTTTCAGTACTCAAGACCAAATGCCATCACTGTAACTAAAAAGATTTCAAATACTGAATCCATCTTTGAAAGAACTGGATTCCCCAGAGTCCATGGTGTGCTTGATGGTTGGCTGCCGCATTTCCTGCTGACACACACTGTGCACTGCTCTGTTGTTATGTGGACAATTAGAGACCATATTCCCCCAGGGTAACCACCGAAAACTTTTCCATGCACATGCACTGCAGTTTGTAAAGAGGGAGAGACCCGTAGGAAGAGAGAGAGGTGGCTTTAGTCCTGAAACATGTCTACACAAGATGCAATAATCGGTAGTAGACCACTGTGTCTGTGTGCCAGATTCATCTGTCCTTAGTGGCAACCATATCATGTTGTCCCTGGCTCCTGCCTTCATATACTGGGTATCGGAATGCCTGAACAACTAAATAGTCCCGTACTCCCATTACAGTATCTTCCTGTTTTGTTTCTATTCGTACAAATCCATTACCTCGTATGTGATGACTTAAGGAGCAAACGTTGATACTTGATCACTTGCCATTTCACCTTGCAGTTCATTCACCTGGAAGAAAGAAAAAAAAGCGCCTTTCAGAAGATATACCCTGGTTAACAAATGAAATGACAATCTTATCAGGCTTTAGTGTCTCATGCAAAGTGGCCAGTCATAACTTGCACAATGCACCACCTCAGCATTTACCTAATGAACTAAGACAGTGTGCAACTTTCATGTCAATCAACTCTGACTTGTATTATCCACCAACACAGCATTTACCTGATGAAAAGACAGTTTACAACTTTAGTGTCAATCAGCTCTAACTTGTATACTTGTAATCGACAGACATATTATTTACCTGATGAACTAAGATAGTTTGCAGCTTTAGTGTCAATAGTTTGCAGCTTTAGTGTCAATCAGCTCTGACTTGTATTATCCACCAACACAACATTTACCTGATGAAAAGACAGTTTACCACTTTAGTGTCAATCAGCTCTAACTTGTATACTTGTAATCGACTGACATATAATTTACCTGATGAACTAAGATACTCCTAGTTTGCAACTTTAGTGTCAATCAGATCTGACATTTATTATCCACTAACACTGCATTTACTTGATGAACTTAGACAGCTCTGTGACTTCTATCAATTCACAACTTTAGTGTATGACAAGGTCACAAGCAATCATCTCTAGTCCGCATTATCCACGGACACTACATTTACCTGATGAACTGACAGTATGCAACGGTGATTATTTATTTATGTCGAAAACATATCTCCAACTTTTACCATTGCTGAAAGACGGACAAAGCTAGTAACAGCACTTGGACCTTTTATGTCGAAAACAGATATGCCCCAGGCTTTCCAGGACTTGATGTGCAGGGAACATCTGGCACAATTACCAAGGAACAGATGGAATCACCACGACGACAAAACCTCTCGCTTTCTTGATGAACCGAGCTTCACATGCCATTACTGGTAGCCTACAGCCAACAAAGATCAATGAGAGTACTGTAGGAATCAGTATCTCTAATAAGATTTGCTAGGGAGAAATACAGGGTTTAATATGCGGAGTTCTCAACGGTTCAACAGCACAAGGAATTCAATTACAGAAAATTGATATCACAGCCACACAGGTAGTATTCTGATGAAAATTCTACAGATGTTACTTCCTCCGTTTCACAATGTAAGACTTTCTAGCATTACCCATATTCATATAGATGTTAATGAATCTAGACACACATATATATCTAGATTCATTAACATCTATATGAATATCTAGATTCATTAACATCTATATGAATATGGACAATGCTAGAAAGTCTTACATTATAAAACAGAGGGAGTACAATTCACTATCTTAAAAAGATAAGAATGTAAGCACTACAAGTATTAGGCAGATTCTTTTTTTTTTTAGACTTGAAACAAAAAGAAGGCACTGGTAGAAAATAAAAAGGAAAAGTTGACACTCATCTAACAAAAGATCGTTGTCAAGTAAGCTTGAGCTAACTATATAGGCAGCACAAGATTCCACAAAAAACATCAAAACCATAGCTAAATGAACAGAAAAGCCTTGTACTGAGTTGAATTTTAGCATAGCAGCCAAAGATTCATATCTGTAAGATGTTTGTACTTACTGAAACTTCACTAGCTTTTTGTGGGTAAAGCAACATAAAACCCTAAAACTGAAAGTAAGTGTAGTTAGTTAAGAAGTTTGTAAGACAAAAATAAGATGACCTATGTACAAATAAGATGCTCTATGCAGATAGATTACCTTCATATACAAGTTGCCTAGGTAAGATGCACTTTCAGGCCTCAGATAATAAATATGAAAGATCATAAAAAGTCCATAAACCTTAAATATATTATGCTTACTCATTTTTTCAACAGCATACACAATACAATCAGCAGTGAGCAATGAGATGACGAGATATTGCACTATATTGGAAATGACACCGAAGGGGCAAAATAATATCAGGATAATACACATCTTATATCCACAAACCAATAGAAGTAATACAAGATTGAGAACTCATATATTTGTTCAAAAATACAAATATTTTGCTATAGACACACTGCAAATATAAAATATATTTGCCCGGAAGTGGAACCTAAGAATAATGTTCAGCTCTTCAGTAACCAGGAGTCCAGGACAACCCAGACAAAGATAAATCGACTTTAGTGAAACGAATCCATCATGATTTATACTTGAATGATCTGCAGTCAAGCAACAAAAATATTTAACAAAGTTCCACTTCCACATCACCAAATGACTAGCAACATTCAGTGATTATGGCAATGAACAAACTATAGAAGATAAAGGATACATCTGCAGTTCTGCAACAAACATGTATTCTCAATCATAATTGCAAGTGAACTGAGAAAGATTATCATGCACTCAAAACAGTAGAACATGCACCAAAGGGTCAGGTTTCAAGTGGAGTTCGTATTGATACAGGCTCAAGATAAAAGTTTATAGCAAGAGGATTGGAATACCAAATCACGATATTACCACCCACATGATGACATGAAGAGTAAACCTGCCAAACACTGGTTAAACTGAACAACATTATATTCCCAGAACTACGTGAATGTGCTTCATTTTATATAATTAGAACATAAGACTAATGTGGCTACCACCAGAAAAGAAAGAACAAACAAAAACAAAAGAAAAGCCTTCCATCTTCCTCAAGAACAAGCAGACAAGTAAAAGTCTGTCATCTTCCTCAACAACTACGAGCAGTTAAGTCAGTGCAAGTTGACTGCCAGTGACCACACCTAGTGGTGAAAGCTATATGGCCTGAAACATTTAAGCCCTTTAGTTCCAAGATCCATATTGATGCATATGCAAGAGGATTGCAAAGTCCTCTCATACGTAAGAACAGAAAAAAATGCACATGTACAAAGAGGGTTGAACTCAAGAACTCTTTATTCCTTGCAGTATATATCCGTCTGAAAAATCCCGATGAGGGACTTTGTTTTGTACGAACAAAAGGAGGGACTTGTATAACCCATTGCCATAGAAAGAACAAACAAACAGAACAATGACCGAAAAGAAAAAGAAGAGCCCATCTTCCTACAGAATCATAAGAAGCTAGGGAGTAACTCCTAGCACATTGAACACCAAGCAGTTTCTCCCAAGCTTCGTCTTACTTAAAGTCTACAGACTAAGCCCATAATGCCAGGGCTGCCATGGCCATGGCCCCAAGAAACAGAGCTATATACGAGCCCACTTGAAGCCTTGGGTTGCAGCTCATCTTCCGGCTAAGAAAATCAGCAGCAATAAGATCCACTAATGCCATATAGATCAGTATACCAGCCGACATCGAGTCCAGAATTCCCTCCACCACCAACGCTCTGGGGCTGTTGGGGTTGTAAAATGATGCAACCGCCGCCCCCACAGTGATCCCAGCAGGTGTTGTGATAGCAAAGAAGAAAGCCATCAGGAAAGCAGAGAAGTTCTTTAACTGAGCCTGCACCCATTTAGTCACAGAGAATGGACACCACATCACAATCATATTACACTCTAGCATTGAAATGTCAACCATGGAATGAAAAAATAAAGCAGGTATTAACCTCAGAAATGCAGCCGCCCAACGCAAAACCCTCGAAGAACTGGTGGAATGAGAGGGCAGCAACCAGAGGTTTGATTGTACACGGGCTCTGAGAGACGCCCAACGATAGGCCAATGATGACCGAGTGAGATACAATTCCCAGCTCCAGAATCTTGTAGATAATACAGCAAATCATTAGTCAGCATGCAACATAGATTTGCAACATGTATCCAAGATATCACACCTCATATCCATTGCTAGTCTGTACTCTGTAGTGTTACTGTAGCCATAACAAATTTGCCTAAAATAGGAGAAATGCTGCTAAACAGACACACGCAAGATTCTTAACTCAGATGTACACGTACTAATCAACTACAACAGTTAAGAGTGATTTTGCGGGTCTTCTACAATTATGCGTTCGTATCAACATGGCAAATTATTGTTAAAACAAATCATGGCAAATTGGCACTGTGCGTGCGTACCTGCGAGACAACCACATGGCGAGCGGAGGGGCCCTCCTCGTGCCCGTGGCCATGGCCGTGCGCGTGGGCGTCATTCACAGCTCCCCCATGGCACGCGCCGTGGACGTGCGCATGGCTGTGCCGGTGAGCGGCCGCGTGGGCGTGTATCCCGACGATGTGCATGGCGTCCCGCTTCCCGCCTCGTCCATCCCGTCCTTCGCCGTCCCCGACCGGCAGCGCGCCGCCGTCCTCGAGCAGCGCGGCGGCCGCCTCTTCGGCGGCCGCGGCGGCCTCCTCCTGGCGGTGCTTCCGCTCGTAGAAGTGGGTGCCGACGAAGTCGACGACGAGGGTGGCGAGCGCGGCGAGCATGGCGACGAACCCCGGGAAGGGGAAGCGCCGCCAGGGGGAGTGCGGGAGGCAGGGGTTGGAGAGCGCGTGCTCCGCGTCGTGCAGCATGTGGACGAACCCCGTGGCCAGGATCACCCCCGCCGCGAACGCCTTGGCGAGCACGAAGAGCCCGCCGGAGGACGCGCCCCCGCCACCGCCACCGCCACCGCCACGCCGCCTCCGGCCGACGAGCGGGATGGCGACCCCGGCCGCGCCGGCGATGAGGATGGCCGCGACGGCCACCATCTTGAGCCGCAGAGCCGCCGCCTCGTCGCGGCACTCCTCGTCCTTGTCACCGCCGCCGCCCACCACCGCGTCGCAGCTCGCCGCCGACACCGACGCTGCCATTCCATCACCCCCAAGCGTCAATTGCGAGCTTCCACGATGGGTTTAGCCGATAAAAACCAAAAACAAAAAAACAAAAAATCCCCACCGATTGAGCGCTACCTGCGATTTGGCGGATGAAGGGGATGTACGACGACGACGACGACGACTCCATTTTCTGCGGATTACAGCACACACGCCAACCAAAACCATCAGGAAAACAAAATTCACATCGCGAGCCAGAAATCGAGATCAAAACCCTTCCAGAAAACGAGAAAAAACAACAATCCAAAACTCGCCGCAACCGCAACCTGAAAGGGAAGGGAGCAGGGAGCAGGGGCTCAGGACTCAGGAGCAGAAGCCTCACCTCGAAGAACGCCATTGCCGATGGATAGGTAAAAAGCAATCCAACCCGCCTTTCTCCTCTACTCCCGCGTCTCGAACAGCCGAATTAAACGAACTCCCGCCCGATGCCGCGCGGCTGCAACTCCTCTCGCGTCAGCCTGCGGCTGCGGATGACATAGATATAGGCTCTCTAGGCCGCCACGCGCGCGCGGCGCATCTGCATGCGAGGCCAGAGAGAGGGAGGAAGGAACGGGAAGGGGGTGGGGCCCGCGGTCAGGGAGGAGGATGTCGTCATGGGGCCCGCGGTCAGAGAGGATGTCGTCATGGCACCAGCGGCGGCCGTACGGCGGAGCGGGCGGGCCAGCGGTGGAGCGGGGCCCACACCCCCCTCACCTGCGCGGCGACGGGGAGGCGCGGCCCAGGGTGGGGCCCACGAGGCAGCGGCTCCTCGAGGAGTCGTGGCCTCGTGGGAGGTTGGGGGTTGGGAAAATTTGGGAGTCGGGGATTTGAATCCGTTTCGTAGCAGAGATGGCCGTGTCGACACCATGGCGCGACGGGACGTGAAGGGCGTGGACCACGCGATGGAACGTGAGCGCATGGAGATAGTAGACCGACCGAGACCGTGATCTGCCTGCCCACATGACACGCCCAACGGCCAACCATTGCATAGTAGGAGTATGTGTCCTTGGAATATTATTAATGGTCTTCTAGTAATGTCACAGTTCTTTCTTTTTATTTGTGTGACCAATCACAATTATCAGCCGTGCTGCAAAATTGGCAACACCAACATGATGCCAAGGATTTGGCTTGGCTCCATTGATATCTTTGAAAAAACTTAAATGCACGCACCATTTTCAAATAGTTCGGCAATTACCAATCACAATCTGGTAGTACAAAGGTTAGTACGAAGTAGTATTGGGCAACAAGGATGCATTTTGTTTTCCCACAGGGAAAGTACTTGTGCATACAATTTTCAAGTCTATTTATTATGCGAACCAACTAACAAATATCGCCAAAACATTTTAAAAAATTATACGCATATTTTTTAAAATATTACTGCACCTATATAAAAAGTTTCAACTTGAAATTCATTATACATGGAGTAGCAAAAAAGAAAAAGACAAAATTCTAACAAGGTTATACTCTTAAACATGCCATTTTTTTGTTAAAACTAAAATATAAAGAATATATAGGTGTAATAATACTAGAAGTAAATGTGCATAACTTTCTTTGAATTTCTTTTGTGATATCTATTATTAGTTGGTGTGCACTATGGAGTATACCTGGAAATTATGTGCACATATATGTAGGAGTATCACGTTTCCATACCTCATCAAATTAACAAGGCACATATATCTAGACAATAAGACAACCATATAGTAGGTGTACCTTTTTCCTCCATATATGATCCCAAGAATTTTTTTTTACTCCCTCCATCTCATATTCCATCTCATATTATAAGTAAATCGTTTAACTTTTTATCTAATCAAACTTCTTTTAAGAACCAGTTCCCAACCCAAACACTGCGCACGAAAAACGGAACGATCCATTAGCACATGATTAAGTATTTGATAATTTCTTTTTCAAAAATGGATCATTATGATTTTTTAAGCAACTTTCATACATAAACTTTTTGCAAAAAAAACACACCGTTTAGCAGTTTGAAAAGCGTGCGTGTGAAAAATGAGAATAGAGTTGGGAACCAGCTCTTGCAAACAGAGCCTAAGTTTTTCAGCACAAAACAAACATATTATAAAAATATATTCAAGGTTAGATTTAACAAAACTAATTTAATATTATAGATGTTGCTAAATTTTTTCTATAAACTTGATCAAACTTAAAGAAATTTGACTTAAAAAAAATTTAAACGACTTATAATATGACTTATAATATGAAATGGCTAGCGTGGCACATGGATAGACATGTTATGGACCTAGATTAGTGTAAATGCATACATGGTTACTTGCAACGATAAATTAGAAACTACACAACATGCCAGGAGCTAGCCAGCTATACGTGGTAATACAAACAAACTAACCTGTGAAGACTGAAGATTTCTCAAGCTTCCTGCAGATCAAATCATCAAAATGCCACGAAGATATCGAACTAAAAAATGAGAATCATATGTCAAATGATTTTTGAGTCTCCCTACATATAAGCCAAACTGGCAACAGTTAGCTGCTCATTGAGAGTGTTACATCACGATACATTGTTCCAACACACAAATATTCTTCCTACCACAAAGTTTAGTTTCAAGGGTTCTAAGGCTGCATGGTAAACTAATGATACAACATTGTTTTAGCTGTAGCTTCTACAGAGGTTCAGGGTTCAGCGGACAGAATCAATGTACTAGTTGCCGGATGCGATGCAATGCAAAGCATCAAAGAACACGTCTGATGCCGCTGGTTCAACACGGTGAATGTAATGTTCCAACTTTCTCAAAGCAGAAAATGGGAATAATGTAAAGGTATAGATTTATTATCAGTTCTAAAAAACCACAATGATCTTATGCTCATTTTCCGTACGGGTGGTATCTGCTCGAGCCTCTACCACTTGTGCTCCCACCACCGCCCATACCTCCAGCTCCGCCATAAGCACCATATCCTCCTGCACCGTAGCCACCCGGTGCACCATATGCACCACCACCTCCATAGGCACCACCATATGCACCATAGGCACCATATGGACCTCCATACATTGAACCACCATAGCCAGAGCCAAAGCCTGACCCAAATGCGGGGTTACCTCCATATCCATAACCTCTGCCATAGCCAGCATAACCTGTGCTACCGTAATAAGCTGCAGCAGCTGACCGATAGCCACCACCATATCCACCATAGCCACCGCTGCTGCTGCTTCCAGAATTGCCACCACCACTACCACGGTAAGAACTACGGTGGCCACCACCACTCCCGTGACTATGTCTCCCATTAGAGCTAGAATCACCCCCGCCAGGTTTCTTAGGCTCAGCCTTCTTTATTTCAACCTGCAGAGTTACAGAACAGGTGAAGTTATCAAACTAATCTTCAATACCATAGTCCCATTCCATAGTAGTGTAATACTTCATACGCACAGTACAATTAAGATATAAAATCATGCATCTTACCTCCTACCACTAAATTAACAAAGATAGTTGCAAATGAAAAAGACGAGAGACCTAAAAGGGAAGTTGAACAGGAAACTCTACTGCATTTCAGCAGTTCATCAGTTCACTAGGAAGTAACATGGAGGGCTAGGCACATCATTTTAGCAGATGGCAAACATATAAGCATCAGGATCGCTTGTCTCATATGATAGAATGCAAAAGTTCACCCCCTTTGCGAGGGAGAACAGAACTTCGCAACAAACCAATATAAAAAAAACTACAAGGTAAAGAAATTAAAGATCTCCTGATCTCAAATCACATACAGAATAGGTAGTGATGTGCACCAAGAAGACTACCTACTGATTCTAGTAGGTATTGATTCAAATGGATATGATACTGATTCATTTCAGTTCCTTCAAATAGGAATGAATAAAGAAAGGTCCATTCTAATACAACAGCAAAACTGACTTCTTGTCACGGTAGACATAATCAACAAGGAACAATATTCAAACTTCAAGTAGTAAAGCAGAAAACAAGATCCTCGTGCTAACAAATAAATTCAGTGAATAGTAGTAAAATCAATTCATTAGAAGCATATCCATTTATACCAATTGATACTTAAGCTCATAAGTACTGAAAAGTTAACAATATTAAATAGAAGGAAAACTTGGAAGCAAGGAAAGCTAGTGACCTGTTTCCCTGCAAGATCATGCATTCTCCCTTCTGACATAACCCTTTCAACAGCGTCCTCATTTTCAAATGTGACAAAGCCAAAGCCTCGTGACCGCCCAGTGCCATGGTCAAGCATTATCTGATGCTCAACTACCTTCCCATATGAAGAGAAATGCTCCTTCAATTTATCTGGAAGTTTCATGACAATCATATTTATCAAGACATAACATTATTTAGAGTATTCAAGCCATTGTTTTCTAGAATACAAATATATTTTTGCTTGTAAAAAGGAAACAACTTAGTTCTGCTGGCTACCTTCAGTAAGAGATGGTGGAATACCACCAACAAAGATTTTTCTCGTTTTAGGACCATCTTTCGACGACATTTCCTCCCTCGGGACAGTCCTTTTAACTTCAACCTTGATAGATCAAAATGTATGACAGACAAATGAGAACAGACTCTACAGCAAGCTTTGCATACTTTGGTGAAGTGATACATAGAAGGCTTACTGTTCTTCCATCTATAGTGTGTTCATCTTGCAGAACCTTGTCAATAACAGATGGATCCGAAAATGTAACAAAACCAAATCCACGAGGCATCTTTGTATGCTTGTCTTTCATGATCACAGAATCAGATATAGCTCCATATTTCTCAAAATGCTTGGTGAACGATTCTGAATAAAAAAAAACATATAAAGCATAAACAACATATGTAAATCAAAGCCTTATCTAACAATATTGATGGGATTACAATAATATGAACATTTTTCCAGGTGAAATTAGGGTCCAGATTAAAATCATATGAACATGTTTAGCCTATCTGCCGACAGCAATGAAATTAAATAGTACAAACTAGAACCCAGCACCAAACGCACTAACAATAAGATCATGCACAATGTAAATAAACAGAATAGTGCATTCACTGAAAACTCAAGAGAAAAGAAAATAGCAGGAAGCATTTGGACCCAAATAACAACAGCAAATGTGCCAGGTCATACTGAGTCAGCTCCTGCTCAATTACTGAAAACTCAAGAGAAAAGAAAATAGCAGGAAGCATTTGGACCCAAATAACAACAGCAAATGTGCCAGGTCATACTGAGTCAGCTCCTGCTCAATTGCTATTTAATCAAAAGTAACTCCCATTTCCCAATTCAAACCAAATGCAATATAAGCATTTTATCTTCCAAACAAAAGAATTCAACACACATGACCATCAATACAGCAGATACATGTTATTTTAGTATTTACTATTGGAAAATCCAAATCAGAAAAAAAAACAGTGCAAACATAATCAACCAAACAAAAAGATAAATATACCCCTGTATGCATTAGACAACAGACATGCACAACATGTCTCAACGACTAGATGGAACAACATGATTAAAAGCAATGCAGCTTAATCATGATTGAAGCATTCGCATAGCATCTATGCTTAAAAGTTAAAATTCCTAATGAAGTTACCAATGGACAAGTTTCTAAATTTGGTTAACTAAGTTAGCCCAAGCTGTTCAACCTGCTTCTACATTTCAATGTGAAAATACACCTACACAAAACAAAGGTACAAGATTGCTTCTTAAAAGTATTACAAAGTAGCATTTAAGTTCTATGGCTTGCAGATTGCTAGATTCCTTTTCACATCTCAACCTAAGCAAAAACAAACTTTAGTTCAGTTAGTCCTGCTATCCTAAGTTATTAAGCACAACAACAAGAAACCTATCCTTTCAGAGAAACACTCTTCCCTAAATTCTTCTTTAGGTTGCTAGCTACTGAAGGACGCTACTTCATTCACATCTACTATATGCTACTAGTATTAACCTCTAAAAATCATCTCTTAAACACGTTGCTTTGCACAACTAGAATTCTCATGTTTAACAAAAATCCCCCAAAAAGAATCCATCCGCTCTACCTTCAGTTGTCTCCCAGGCTACACCTCCAACAAAAATTTTCCTGCAGAGGCACACAGATCAAACAAAACCAACAAAATTCAGCCAACTTCATCCATCCAACCAAAACAGACCGAACATCGAAAGGAAAGGGACTCACCCCGACGAATCACCGCCCTCTCCACCACCCGCAGTCCTCCCCGCTTCCTCGCCATTGCCGACGCCCTCCACTTCTCCACCTCCGCCTCGCCTCTCCTCTGCAACCTCCTCCGCCGCATCGGCAGCCGCGGCGGTGGCATCAGCCCCCTCCTCCTCCTCCTCTTCCTCCTCCTCCTCCTCCACCTCTTCCTCGACCTCCTCCACCTCCTCTTCCTCCTCCTCCTCCTCGTACCCGTTCATGCCGTTCTGGTTCTCCTCCCCGTACCCCGCCATCCCTCCCCACCACCACCACCACTACCTCGGCACGGACACCCCCGCTGCAGCAGCTCAAAAGAAAAAAGAAAAAAAAAAGAAGCAAAACCCTAGCGGACGACCGGGAGCGCGGGGGCGGCGGCGGCCGAGCTAACCGGAGCTTCGTCGGAGGAGGAGGAGGAAGTGGTGGCGGCGAGAGCAAACCCTAGGCTCGCCGGCGGCGGCGCGGGTGTGGACTGGGCGAGGAGGAGGAGGAGAAAGGCTGCGGGGTGTAGAGTAGAGTAGAGAAGTAGGTGAGGTGGCGGCGAGGTTGGAATTCGGGTGGGGGATTTTAGCTAGTAGTAGCTCGTTGGCGTCCGTTGGATGTGCGTGGTGATTCGTGCTCGCACGAAGAAAGCGTGTCTTCATGTCTTTGTGTTGTGCCGACTGTGCTCTATAGCTTTTTCTTTCCTACTATTACGCGTTAGAACAAAAATAGGATAGAATGGTGTTGTTTTTTTAAAAAAAAGCGGATGCCACTAATTTTGTCGCACTTATAGTAAGCAGGAAATAGACAGTATCTTTTTTACGAAAAATATTAATCAGTAAATTATATATACTTAAAAAAACTCCCTTCGTCTTAATATAAGTGCAACATAATACAAATATGATATATCATAGAAGTACGAATCTGGATATTTGTTTGCCCCAATATAAGTGCATCTGCACTAGAATATATCACATCTGTACTAGGTTGCACTTATATTGAGATGGAGGGAGTACATATTATAGTCATACATAGTGCCCTCAAACTTCATGTAAGTTCATATGTCATCCATAGTAAAGATAAGTTGCATCGTATTGTGTCGAAGTGCCTTAGTGACTTAAGGAGAAAGAAGGTGGTCTAGCGAGAGAAAGTTCATGTTTAGGTTGGCGCACCTGGATCTCGATCTAGGTTCCCACCCTCTCCAATCTCCTCTACTTGTTGTCATGGCAATCTCGAGGAAGCACCAACCTCGTTAGCCTCCCTAGGCAGAGGATTGTAGTGTCATGATAGTCATGACTAGATCCTACAAGACCACTACAGATCTGGTAGAGCCCACTCTAGGGAGTTTGGGAAAAGACGGCAAGCCTACAGATGGGGACAGAGTCACGGTTACCATGAAAGAGATGGATTTGTTACAAACATGGATAGAGGAGAGGATCGCCGTGTAAGGGAGTAGATAGGCATGAGATCCACCGGTATGCGAGCAACATAGCAAGTCACCGTGTGCCTTGCTACCTCATATATTGGAAATGAGTTGGGATAGAGGTGTGGAATTGTGGATTGGATAAGTGAAGGAGGGAGAAAATAGGATATCGTTTCTAATATATATAGAGCGGAAAGTGGGTGAAAGAACATATAGTAACTATTTTTATTTTCCAAAAATAGGGTCTTTTATGTAACTAGTCAACCAAGACACAAATTGGTATAGCATGGACACTAATAGCCAAACTAAAAGGGTTGAAATGCAAATAGTTTTTTTTAACGATAAAGCTATGGTGGCGCAGTGAACAAACTCACGATGTTAGCTTTTTTTTTTTATAGGATGACTCCATTTGCTTTTTTTTTTTTCTTATTTAGAGAAGGAGAGCTACTCATGCATCATAAATATCCTACTTTCTTCGTAAAAAAAAAGATAACTTTTGTATATAAATCTAGACATAGCCTATATCTATACTTATATATAAAAATTGTCTATGCAGAAGGATAATAGGCAAGCTTGTATACGAGACCACACGCTTGTCCACATCTATCATTGCATTAATACTTTCCAATTTCCGCAATAAATAAAAAAATCTATAAGAGTTATAGATTAAAATGTTTTAATGGAAGTTAGAATAATTCCATGCTAAAACTTCTATAAGGGCGTATTCGATTAATCCCCAATAGATAGGGATTGGAGGGGTTTGAGGTAGATTAATTTCACGCCTGAATAGGTTTGGTATAAATCCCTTCTAAAATCCTCCTTAATCCTTTTGGGAGAGAGATTAACCGGTCTAAAGGAAAATTTCTACAAGTGGCTTTAAAAAAATCACGTAAAAACTAAATTCTCATGTAGAAAATACTTCATATAGGCAAAAAGTTCCATTAACGCTAGAAAACTTTCACACATTTGTTTGACCTATGAGAGAGTTACACCAATAAACAGCAAACTCACCAGTATACTTATACATGACTTCATTATTTCTTAACATATAATGCATACTAACATACTTATACATGAGTAACATTCATTATTTCTTAACTTATAATGCATAATAATATATTGACATATTAGGTTTAATTCTTTTAATTTTTTTTATATTGTTTATAGTTGTAGATAATTGAATATGCGCATTTATATGAGTGTATGCGTTGATCCTATGTTTCAAATTTTTTTTGAAAGAAATAATCTCCTAATTTCAGAAGAGAAGAAGCTTAATTCTGAATATATTAGAGGTTGGACACAGGCTTTAAAAAAGGCTTTAGCTCGCCTTATTTGTTTTGTTTATTATGTCCTGTATGACACAGCTTTAGATTCCAAATCCACGTTGGATATGAAGTTTATATGTCTAATTATAGTAGTTTGAAATTGCATATTTAATCTAAATTAGAAACAAAATGATTCATTCATATGTTATCAGCGTAATCATAAATCCAGATCTACGAATTTGTAAAGCCACATATAGTCTATGTTGAATTTGTAAAGCTACCTATAGATTTGTGGAGCTACGAATACCCAACTTTTAAAAAACCTTGAATCCGAAAACTATACTGAGCAAGGCCTAAGTCAGATTATTAGTTTAGTTTAAAAGCCTTTTTAAATCTTTTTCACGAACAAAGCTTTATGTACTCCAGATTTGAGTAGCTCTTTTCGTTTTTGTGGATTAGACTTCCAACTAAACCCAAGCCACGGGCGAAGCTAATGTGAAAATGTGCACTTAATAATTGTCTAAAAAAAAGTTGGATATATGCCTTCTGGATTAATAATTGTCTAAAAGTTGTCCATGAAGGTATGGACTCCAAGCCCCAGTTACGACTGGAAACTTTGCGTAAGGAAAAATTCGTTCCAACTGTCACGCATACCCCCTAGTGTTCAGTAGGCACTTAAAAGAAAAGCAAGATACTATAATCACCACTGCAGACACCAATATCGAATAATTACAGCGAAGACATTGCCAGGAAAAAGAATAAGCAAAATTGCAGATATACATATATTGTCAGCTATCTAGAGAGGTTCTTCTTCCAACTGAAATGAGCTATACTTTTTACATGGCTGGCTTTGGAACTTCTACTCGGGGAAATGCCACCCATCACACCCCCAACATTCCTTACACGAACGGAGAAAAAAAAATCCAATATGATCAGAAAATTAAGACCAAAAAAAGAAAAAAGAAGAGAAAGAATTTCACTGTATAGCTGGGAGAGAAGCCAAAAACCGCTGCCTTGCATGAGAAAAAAAGTAAGGTGACAACTACTGTCGAAACGCCGGTCAGATGACTCAGATGTCACTACGATACAGTATGGATGGTTAGGGATGGGGCCTTCTTGTGCAACTTCCCCCTGATCTGCTTGATCTTCGCATCGACCCTCGCGGTGAAACCAATCTTCGTCCGCTGCCGGGCCTTCGACCGCTCCCTCTTCCACATCGTTTGGTCTTCGACGTCCTTCTTCAGGTACTTGATCTCTTGAATCACATGGTGATCAAGTGGATTGCACAATCTCTGGTAGGATATGTGGATCAGGTAGGGCATGTTGCAAGCAGCAGTCACCAGAAGAGTTGCTGCCCAGTACAAGGGAGCAGGTCCAAGAACCTCCAGTAGAATCTGGTAATTGTCGCGGGACCTCAACGCCGAGCCATAGACGATTATGAAGAGGTACCAAGTACCTACGCTGCCCCAGACAAAGAGATGTTGAATCCAGGTGAAATGGCTCATTGTCAGCGCAATCTGCATGTTGACAGCCCAGATGATGCAGGTGAACATAGTAGTTCCCACTGCAGCCATGTCAGCAGTCTGTCCTCCAGAACGGATTGCCTGATCATAGAATATACAGATGTTGAGAAAGAATATGGCCAGAGATGAGTAGAGGCCATTCGCCATCCATCCTAAAATCCGGTACCAATCGAAGAAAAGATTTCTCGGTCCTTGCTGATATAACGCCGGGAACTGCACAATGCAAGTTATGCATGTCAGTGTTGACGTAAGAAAGTGTATTACCAAGCTTAGACACAGGGTTATGCGGTACCAACCAGGATAAGAAAGTAAAAAAAGGAACAGATATTTACTTGGCAGAAATGAAAACTACTCATTGCCAAGATTAGACAAGATTTATTTTATTATGATTGGCATCACCCAACTATGTTAGAATGGATCAGATTGATGATCATTTGCATTTCATTGAAATTTTGATAGATAATCATTTCGGAATAAATACAATGATACACAAGTAGTAATAATGTGAATGGAAATGTAATAAACTGAATGTACTAGTCTGAATATATGATCTTCATTCCCCATTAGGTTGTCTTTAAAGTTTAATCTACTCTATCAATCTTTTTTTTTGTTTGTTCTGCACAAGATGTGTAAGGACAAAAAAAAAATTGTGGTTTGCATTACACGGTTATGGATGACTCAATTGGGAGAATTTTCAGTCAAATTTGCAGCATAACATTGGCAGCAGATATAATTTAAGACACATCTGTTAACAAGTTCTGTATTTCTGTATTTAGCACACTATTATGCAGTTCTTTTTACAAGAACATTTGCTAGTTGCATACTTTAAACACATTATATTTACAACCTTAGATACTAAAGCCACATAGACTTGTGCCTCCAATTTTGGATGACTAACTGAAGCCAGATAGTCTAACCATGACAGCATTTTATTAAGTGCAGAATGAGGCAAAGTAAAAAATTAAAAGGTTTGGTAAACCATCTTTTGATTATCTTCTTCTTACTAACTAGGTTGCTTTGTGGAAAATTCCAGAACTAAGCCTTTCTTTCCTTTCCAAGCATATTTTATTTCTCATAAGCCAAATATGATATATTCAAAATAAGTTGGCTATTCTATAACAAACCTGCAAGCAGATTTCAGATGAAACATCCTGCTCAAATACCCCAAGTGAGATAACAGGCAGTGAGGTAAGAACAACATTGAAGAGCAGCATAAACCAATCATCATAAACTGATTGACCAGAAAATCCAGCAAATGCCTCAAAGTAAAATATAGTAAGTCCAAAAGCAATATTCTTGTAGAAGAAGTAGCAGATCTGCAGTTGATAAAAGAAGAGTCAGTAGTCAGTACACTAAACTGCAAATTTAGTACAAATATAATCCATTAGGATGAAAAGAATAATGGAACAGCACCATTTGGGCAATTCTCTTATAGCACCAATGGCCATGGACTACGAGTAGTCTCTCAAGGAACCGAAATTGGGATATAGAAAAGTCACTAGCCATCACAGCCTAGCCAAAGACAAGAAGCAGTTGTCAGTCAAAATCTAATTGGTAAGACATATCCTTAATGCTATCTGAAAGCAGCAGCACACTAGGTTATGTAGAGGACAACAGTAATTTGGATGACAAACCTGCATGCCCTCTACCCCACTTATACCAACTCCTATATCAGCTTCTTGAATCATGCCTACATCATTTGCACCATCACCTATTGCTAATGTAGTTTTTCCAATACCTTCTTTGACCAGTCGAGTCACCTGCAACATGGAAGCAAGCATACTCACCTTTGGCTTATCGAAAATCCAGATCATGGATTGGTGATAGATGGAGTTACCAGTGCTTTTTGCTTTGGGGACACACGGCAACATATGACAGAAGCGCACTCTATTGCAAGATTCAGGAACATATGCTTCATGTCATCTTCCAAAGCAAATGTGAGCGCTTTTCCATCTATAACTAGAGCAAATGCTGCATCAGGATCCTTCTCTAGCTTGACCATTTGTGAACCATTTGCGATTTGCGACATGAGACTCTCCTTTGCAGCCTGATCAGTTGTTAAAGATGAAAGTAAGCCTACCATAAAGAAAATTACTGTGTAGATTAATGCCATCTAAAGTACTAGAGAAAAAAGTGCATACAAAGGTACCTTATTTGCATCCTGGGCTACTTGGTCATCAGTGGGTATTGACAAACATATCCTTCTCATGCCTTGCCTCAGTAAACTGCATGCGTATCTGCAAAGAAGAGATGTACATAACATTCAGGCTAAACATATTATCATCCTTGAAGAGATACAAAGAGAGCATAAATGATAAATGCAGTATCTGGATTTATCATTTAGAATAATTTTTTTTTGGTCTGGAAAGGCTCAACCGTGTAAGAACTTACCCAATGTTGATTGCAGTTTCCATCTTATCACCTGTCAGAACCCAGATTTTGAGACCTGCTTGTGCCAAACGATCTATGCACTGAGGAACCTGATAGAACACAAGACATATCATAAAACAAGTCAAAAATGTTACTGCATTACAGCACGACCCAATAACATATCTTTCCCATTCTCAACACACAAAATAAAAAAAAAAATATCAATCTCACCCCACTTTGCAGTTTGTCCTCTACTGCAGTTGCACCAACAAGGATCAGGTCTCTTTCAATCAATTCTGAGACTCGCTCAAGTTGCAATTCTCTGTCAGGTCCAATAGAGGTCTTTGCTTTAAGAAACTCAGCATTCCAAGAGGAATATTCTGATTCATCGAGCACTCTGTATGATAGAGCCAGTGTCCGCAAGCCTGCCTCACCATAATCATTGAGATGCTTGCTCGTATCAGCTTCAATCATCCTTCCATTTTTTGCCAGTCTATCAAATATGATGCTGCAAAGTTTGGAAGAAAGAACAACGAAATACAGTCAAGCCAAAGCGTAAATAACCCAAGCATGTTGGCAATACAAGCAAGTTATAACTTATAACTATGCAAATTCATCCTTGGCAACATTTTGTATGTTACTATTTTGAGCTCCAGAATACCAAGATAAAGCACAAATACCCATGCATGTTGACACCTAAAATTAAAACAAGCACCAGCAAAGAAAATATTTGGCACAAAATCCTACCTATCTGCTCCTTTGCAAAAAAGAAGAATTTGCCCATCTTCATCCTTCAGAATTACTGACATTCGTTTTCTTTTGCTGTTGAACTCCAATAGATTGAGAATCTTGAACTCCCTGAAAATTCCCAACAAAGGGTTAAGAAAAACACACAGATGAATAGGAACAGTGAACGATAAATGCAACAAGAAATGCTAATAGGCAACCTCTCAACTGGGCCATTGGAAGAGCTGAATTTCTCCCTGACAAAGACACTTGATTGTGTTCTCTTGAAAAATTCAAATCCAAATTCTCTGGCTGCCACAAGGAAAGCCCCTTCATCAGGTGATTCTGCTTCATAGGTAAGAGCACCAGTTGCCTCATTCACCTCAGGAATTGCAGTGTGACAAACAGCAAGTATCCTGAAGAACATAAGAATCGTAGAAGAATTTGGCTCCTTAGTCCAGTTCCCTTGCATAAGGCGGTCATCCTCAAAACTAAAACCTTTTATTGAGGACTTTCGGGTCCTTCCAACACTGAAAGTCACTCCTTCTACTAGCTGTATTTCATCCTCATTATTCTCCCATACATCTTGTACATGAATATCTTGGCCATCATCGCCTGACGCCATCTGTTTTGCAGCAGCGAGTTCAACTTCACTTGAACCCACACCATATGAAACCCCGGCAATCGAACATTTCAAGAAATCCATCTGATTACAGGTCAAAGTGCCAGTCTTATCTGACAAAATTGTATGAACCTGGCCAAGCTCCTCATTCAAGTTTGATGTTCGGGCCTGAGCAGTATTGCCTGTATCCTCATCAAACATATGAAGGTCCTGATTTATGAAATGTGCTTGCAATACCTTCACAAGTTCAATTGACACATACAGTGAGATAGGAATCAAATACCCATAAAGAATGAGTGCTGTAATGAGATGGAATATCCCAGAAAGAGCAGGACGTGTTGGATCATCCAATTTATTGGACTTCTCTGGCTGCAAGTACCACCAGTTGGGCAAATCATACTTGATCCTCACAGCAAATCCAATCGAACTGATGAGTGATATAAGAACCAGTACAGTGAACAAAATATATATGATCAAGTCCATCTTCTTTTCAATCGTGCTCCTCTTGGATGGCGACTCAGTTGAGTTCTGCATAACCTTGCTGTCATGCCCAGTAAAAATGACCACTCCATAGATAAAGGATGTATTCCTCAGCTTTGAGTCCCTGAGAAGTATCTGAAACGGATCGATGGCATAAATCTGCCTCTCATACTCAAGGTTACCAATGAAGGTGTACAAGCTTGGGTTTGGGTCCTCACACCTTATCAATCCTTGGAAATCCTTAAATGACTCGTCCTCTTCCAATGGCAGCGTAACCTCAAGTGACCTCTTTACCTTGAGGTTCGTTTCACCATCAAGGTTCATTGTCTCGACGTAGCAAATGCCATCCTCATAACTCGAGGACAGCAGTAGTAAATCAGCAGGGAAGAACTGGTCCTTCTCAACCTTGACCACATCACCAACAGCAAGGTCCTCCCAGTGCCGGTACTCGAATTCGCCTTCGCCCTTGTGGACGGCAACCTTGCGGTTGTTCACTTTCATGTCCTGCATGAATCGCCGCCAGTCCTCGACCCCTTCCTTGATCATACTAAGCCCAACAACAAAAGCCAGCGGCGCGATCATGCTGACGGCGGAGAAGGGGCACACCGGGGTGAGCGAGAGGATGGCGGTGAGGAGGAAGTAGAGGTTGGCGACGCGGCGGAACTGCTCGAAGATGGCCTTGGGGAGGAAGGTGAGGATGTTGTACTTGGTCGTGGAGATGTAGTTGGTCGGGTACTTGAGCGGCTTCCGGCGGTGCACGGCGGAGTTGTTGCAGTGGACGACGCGCGTGAACCCCGGGCCGCCGACGGCGCTGCCGCCCTCGGCGGCGGGCCCGCCGCCGGCGGCCTCGTTGTTGCTGTGGGAGGAGCGGAAGCAGGCGAAGGTGTAGAGCTTGCTCCATCGCAGGCGGTCGCGCCGCCGCCCGCCGGAACGGCCCATACCGGCAGCCGCCTCTCGACGTCCCGGCCTCCGATTCCGGCTAGGCGGAGCCCGGCATTGGCGCCTCACCCGATCAAATCTACTCCGGATTCGACAAGATCCCCCGCGGCGTGCGACCTAGAGGAAAATGGGGAATCAGATTGTGATCTCGCGGCGACCCCCCACAAAAAAAATTCAAACCAAAGCAATCAATCCCCCAAAGTAAATGGAGAAATCCCGTTCCAACAACAAAAAAAAAAAATCTCGCAAATCCGCGAGGCGAAACAACGCGTAAATTGCACCCGCATTTCGCGCGGAACGTAATAATTACCTGCAGAAATCACAAAACGGAATAGAACAAAAAAAAACACGAACAACCAAACCAACCAAACAAACAAAAAATCACCATCAATAACCCAAACCGAGAAAAAAAAATCTCTCTCCCAACACCTGAAACCGCAACGTGGGAAGAAAACGAAAACCCTCGGAACCAAAAAACACAACAAAAAAGCATTAGCATCTCATCTTCTCAGGTTGATGGGGGGAGTCCGCGCGCCGCGGGGGCGTGGCCCTACCTCGGAGCTCGAGGCGGCAAGTCCGGCGGGGAGTCGGCGACCGTCCGATCCCTCCTCGGGATGCGCGCGGCCGGCGACGCGGGGGGGAAGGCGAGGCGAGGCGAGCTTGGGTGGATTGGGGGGCGGAGCGAGAAGAGAGGGAGGGGAGAGAGAGAGAGAGGAGGAGGAGAGGGAAGGAGGTGGGGAGCTACGCAGCTAGAGAGAGAAAGAGAGAGAAGAGAGAGAGAGAGAGTAATTAATTAGTTAAATTTTGGATTATTAATTTTTAATTCCGCGACTTAGCGGAGTCTCATTTATAATCGGCGAGACAGCCAGGGCAGAGGCCGGTGGGGTTTTCCTCTGTTTTTTTTTTACAAACCGTATTTCAAAACTGCTTTTGTCTGTAGCTGCGCTTTTTTAAAACAAAAATAGATTTGAATTGGTCTGAAATATAGTAGTAACTCGTCAAATTTGCGCGTTAGTTTTGACAAGTTGGGAGCAAAGCGAAGCGTCCTCACGTGTGAATGTTAGCTGGGGTGTACCCGTTCTCCAGTAGACAAATGGAGGTAGCGGCAGGTAAGAGAAGAGGCCATCAAGACTCAAGAGGCAAGGACACACAAAAGGGAACCTCTTGTCGGGTTGCGGTGGCGTGTTTAAAATTAGTTTTTAAACCAGCTGAATTTTTCAAAAGTAAAATTTGGGTTTTTTTTCTATGTACAACCAAAAGGGAGACGACATGGACTCCATTGGTTTCGGGCTATAAGTCGTTTTGATTTTGGTTAAAATCAAACTACTTTAAATTTAACCAAATTTGACAAACATACTAATATTTGCAAAACTAAATTAGTTTCATTAAATCAATAATTAAATATATTTGTCTTTGGTTGAAAATACTACTACTTTTTTTTCTATAAATTTGGTTAAATTTGGAGCAGTTTGACTCTGACAAAAGTCAAAATAACTTATAATCTAAAACAGAAAGAGTAAAAATTACTCCATGCTTTGTTAGTTTGTGTTTAGTCATTTTTGTCACGTCTGTCACATTTTCACGTAATAGAAATGTTGTGAAATTATAGATTATCCCCTATGAAATTAATAACTTAATTAACCCCACATTTCTCACTTTTTTGCATGAGGGAAATGCTGTAAAATCATGGAGATGTTTCTTTCTTTTCTTGTAAACTATTATATGTACGTGGAAACACTAACTCCTATTATGACAGTAACATAGCTTTGATATTTTTGTCATATTTTGTCCATATCACATAATGAAGTGATTTATTTCTCCAATTCCTCTAGCAGCATGTCCTCCATCCACCTTGGACAGAATGTAGCATCGATCGCAAGCTCTTTTACAAGCATATTTGTCAAAATGTGCCACATTCTCCATGGGCACGATTTGACATCCAAAATACATTTATCATGTTGATTTTGTCGTTGCCTACCAAACCACTCAAACTTTTTGCATATAGATGTCCCTAATACATAAGGATATATGTCAAACTTGACAAAGAATGTCTCAAACCAATAGGGTGGTAAGAATCCCAAGGGTAATGTCTTTGGTGGGTACTAAGGCCCTGTTTTTTTCTCCAACAAAAGTTGGATAAACTTTTGGATAATCGTGACATGCTTTTCAAACTACTAAATAGTGCGTTTCGTGCGAAAATTTTCTATATAAAAGTTGTTCTAAAATATAAGATTAATCTATTTTTGAAGTTTGTAATAATTAAAACTCAATTAATCATATGTTATTACTACCTTGTTTTTGCGTGAAACACTTAATTTTATCTTCATCTTCATCTTCAGGAGATTCAAACACCACCTAAAGCGTGCAAGAATTAAAAGTGATGATCTTCTTTGTGCCATAAAACCTACTTTTCTAGATTTCTTGCTTACATGCTTAGAGTCAGTACTCAGTACCGTCCATGTCAAAAAGTAGCATATTAGTCACATATATGGCCTACAATTTGTAGTGCCTCACTGTATAGCCATTATCACACTCACAGTGATTCAAAGTAAAAAGAGGTAGCATTGAGTACTACTAGATTGTAAATGATTGCTAGTAATAGTTTGTACGTATTGTTAGGCCCTGTTTGGAAAATTAGCCCAGGGCTAATTTTGAGAGCTAATGTTTAGTCATGAATTGGTAGGCTAAACATTAGCCAAAGGTGGTATGTTTGGATCCATAGGCTAATTCAAGGCTAAAAGGTGGAGAGAGAGTACAAAGAGAGGAGAGAGAAGGAGAGAAAGAACTGCTTTTTAATGGTCCCCATACAAAATTAGCCCCATTAGCACCCCTTGGAGGGGCTAATGTTTTGAGGGGGGCTAATTCACATTAGCTCAAAATTAACCCACCTGTTTAGATCCTTTAGGGCTAATTTGAGGCTAAAAGGTGAGGGCTAAACATTAGCCCATGGAACCAAACAGGTCCTTAGTTGATTCGGCACATTGTATCTGTAATCTGTACTTGATGGCCAAAGCACTAGAAACTAAAACAATCTTAATGAATTAGTTTGTTAAAAGAAAAAAAAAAGGAGGTCAGAACTCACATCTATAGCATAAAAACCAAAAACTAATGCTTGTCTTGCTCTGCGTTGCAACCGGCTGCTGCTACCGTATAAGTAGCACAAATTTAGTTCTACTTCCTCCGTTCTAAAATAAACCAACCTGATAGGATATAACATATTCTAGTATAATGAATATGAAGATATATCTCGATTTATTGTACTAGAATGTGTTACATCCCATACGAGATTGGTTTATTTTAGAGCGGAGGGAACATCCATTATGGCAATAATCTCTTCTGAGCACCTATTTACAAAAGAGAACTGTTGTACGTACTAAAATTCTCTTATAAAACTCTTACCAACAAATCAGAGTTTGTAAGTATTTTGTAAGAAAATTTTAGTACATATAGACTTCTCCTTTACGAAATAACCTGCTAATTGATTATGCAAGAAACTGTGAAAGGCACATCAGTGCCACCTCTTTGCTTTCTTTGGTTGCTCGAATGGTATCCTTACTTTTGCCTTCACCTTTAAATTGAGCCGATAGAAAGTGAAACGAAACTTCCCAACACGAAACTTCCCAACACACGGTTTCTGTGAGGAATATTACTGAACCACTTTCCCCCATGATCCTTTTTTGTTGTGTTCATTTCTAAAAGCCCTTCTTGAATGCTAAATTTTCACAAACTCACTACAAGCAGTCCAATTCTCATATTTTGATAATCATGTTCCGAGATCGTTTTAAAATAACGCTGAAATGTAAGGACTAGAATATAAAAATCATATATATTTATTCTTTCCTCTCCCAAGATCAATTCCATGTAGGATTGCTTGGATTGGAAGAATGTTAAGTTAATGTTATAAAAATAAGTACAGGTGTGGGGGGACACTAATCAGAACAACCAGAAATTAGGTATTACCGGCACATTAGCAAAGGACAAGGTAGCACCTTGCTGGCTGGATGAGTGCTTCAGACAATCCACAATTAATCTAATCTTGTGCTGAGCTGGAGCAAAGATCTTCCTCTAGTTTTCCCTGGATTGTCCCTTGCTCAGCGTGGGTCTCACGTGCCAAACTATATTTTGCCAACCATCTCATTCAAAAAAAAATTGCTGGTTGATAGTCAGTTTTTAAGAATAAAAAAAACCGAGTTTTGTAGCTGGTTTTTAAGTTCATTATTTACATTTTATAGCTATAGATTATTACAATCAAAATGATTCTGAATTGTTTTAAAGAGTTAGAGATTCTTAGAGAAACTGCAGAAGCTCTCCAAACAGAACCTGAGCCTCTCATCTTTTGGCCCAATCAACATATGCCAAACCCAAAATTTAAAATTTTTAATTTAATTTTGAAGTTGTTTTTGAGTTTTTTTTCATTATAGTTTCTTTTACAACATTGTCATTTAGGTCACTACGAACATAACTGTAAAAGTTTTAATCACAAATTATATTATTTTCGCTAATAAGTCAAATGGCGTATTTTCCACATATAGCCATCCGATGAGGCTATGAGGTGGTCGAAAAACTGTGGAGGTAGATAGACATATGCAAGTATCAAATGAAACATAGCGCATTGCAAAGATATTAATGTTTTATTAACAATTCAGTGTTTTTGGGCCTGTTCACTTTGATGCCATTTTCAACCATACCATTTTTTTTTGGCAAAGTTACCAAAAATTATCTACGTTTAGTTTGTTGCCAAATTTGATCAATACATAAGAAATCCTGCCAAAATTTTGGCAATATTGCCAAAGTTGCTAAAATTTTGGCATTGCCAAAAACTTGGTAAGATTTATTTTGGCTACAATCTGAACAGGCCCTTTGTTTCCCCTGTTTTTCCTGTTTTTTTTTGTCGGTGAGGTGAACAGCTTAGATTATTGCTAGCTCAGCTAACCGCAACAATTAAATTAGGGGGTGCAATCAAATATCAATCACATGTACTAGTTCAAAATGATATGTGCATGTGGACTGCGTTATTTCCTCATCGGACTAGAATTCGAACAGTGGGAAATGGTCCACGCAGAGTTAGTTGAGGACCCGGGGCGATTGAATACATACTTCGTGCATTACCGTACAAGCTATCCATATGAGTTTTACATAAAATAGTTTAGGCTCATTTCATCTGTCAAAATCATTTTCTCTGAAGCTTACTAACTGGTAAAAAATGGCCTGGGTTTTTCCATGGTGTTTAGTTAAATGGTAGAATGTGACAAAGTTAGGTCATTAGCAAAATGAGTGTAGCTCAATTTGTTAGGTTTCTTATGACGGACCCAGTTACTTGGGTTCAACTTCTAGATTTGATACGGGTGTTCATATTTATAGCTAATTATTCTTTAATTAAGTAGTAAGCAACGTGCCCGTCGACAGCGAGATGTTCCTGATAACTTTATTCATCTCAACATATGCTGGTCCAGTTTTTCGTAGGTACTTATAGAAGTAGAATGTGCGTGTGTGTTTATAGAGATGAGCGTCTGTATCTATATTGTTTGGGTAATTTGGAATCATGCCATTATAATTTTGCAAAGTTTAAGATATGCCATCGGTATCTCAATGACATGTAAGACCCACATGAGTCAATGACATATAGGTCAGGATGGCATATTTTAAATTTTGCAAAATTATAATGGTATGGTTCCAATTTTTCCCTTGTTGGCTAAGGAAAGGCGAGGGCATTTAACATTAATTTGGGTTATCGTTGTATTTT